AATTTTCACGGAATAATTGAACTGAAAAATCGAGTAATTTATGAATTTTCAGATTATTCGAACAGAAAATCAACGGAATATTCAATTTTTGAATAACAACATTTCCAGAAATTTCAGTAGAACTTCAAAATGATAAAAATTTCCTGCATTTGACACAGAAAAATCAGACGAAAAATGGCTATTAAATTTCAATTCTTTGGTAGAATTCAAGGAAATTCATGAGATTTCAGTGGAACATGAACATTCAAAAACAAAATGACAAGTTTTCCCAATTTTCACGGAATAATTGAACTGAAAAATCGAGTAATTTATGAATTTTCAGATTATTCGAACAGAAAATCAACGGAATATTCAATTTTTGAATAACAACATTTCCAGAAATTTCAGTAGAAATTAAAAATGATAAAAATTGCCTGGATTTGACACAGAAAAATCAGACGAAAATTCAGAACACCGCAGATATTGTTAATTAAACTTGAATTGATACATTATTTTTCTCCTCATTCTCAAGATATTTTCTTCAGGCGCAACGAAACCTAATTGACCCCAACGATATCACCACTAGATAAGTAGATATGGACGACTTAGGACAGCCCAAGCGACCCAACTCCCCCCTAAAACCTAACAAAAACCTCAAAAATGAATAAAAACCCAGACGAAAAAATTTAATAGAACAGCCTATCGAATTCGTTAGAAAAATCTATTGAATTTCCTCGGCTCAAATTTTCCAAGTTTCCTCGTTTGATTTTCTTGATGAGAAGAAAAGAAAAACAGAATGAAAAAAACTTAGAAAATTTGAGTCGAGCAAATTCTGCAGAAAATATATGAAAAGAATAAGTTATATATAAAAATCAAATTCTGTTGACTTTTTCTATTGAATGTTTTCTATTGAACATGTCAACAGAATCAGCCAAAAACCAATAGAAACTTTAATAGAAATTCAATAGAATTTTCTAACGAATTCGATAGGTTTTTCTATTAAACTTTTTCTTGCGTGAAACCAAATGAAAATTAAAAAAAATAAATAAATAAAATATTCTCATGCAAATACCCCTGAGTTACATAATAATCGCGGGAAACCCGTGTCCCCTGCACTAAAAATCAATCACAAAAACACCACAACACCAAAAACATGAAATTCAACACCCGAAAAAATTGATCAGAGCATCTCCCACTGTCTCCCCCCAATTGCCCCCAAATCCTCGTTCCACATAACCTACTGAACCCTTTGGCTTTCGGGGATCGCGAGAGAAACCGTCCGAGCTTTTGTGGGCGTGTCTTCCCGCGAAATAATTGTTCGCGTCTGCTGTGTACTTCCGGGTCGCCGCGTGGTGCAGCGTAATACCGCGAATGTATTCAACAAAAGCATAAACTATTCATAATTCACCACAGAAAAACCGCGAACCACACGGGCGACGATAGCGATAAAAAGTTATCGCGTTTTCTCGGAATTTTCAGTGACGAAATTCGAGTGGTAATTCAAAACCTCTCGAAGTATTGACGCGACTGGACTGAATAGACTTGACTTACTGAAGAACCCGACTAGAGTACGAGTTGGAGACAGCTGACAGTGTATATAAACGTCTTGGGGTGGGGGCGGGATGCTGCGGCGTGCGCGACAGCCCAATGACACTCACTAATGAATTTTATCGGAAAACCTTGGGCTTCGTTTGAACTTCTAGCGGGAATTCTATCATTTTCCGGCTGAAAATGGGCGATAAAAAGTGGTTCATGGAAGAAATACAAAAAAAGGCGCGAATTTCATGTTTCTATAGAATTTTCTATTGAGGCATTTTCTATAGAAATTTTTCAATAGGAATTTTTCAAGTTCTTGCACTCTATTGTTCTTCTATTTTTATTTTAAAAATCAAACAGAAAAAGGTGGAAAATTTGAGCGCAGGAATTTCTATAGAAAATATCGCTATAGAATATAAAAATGAAATTCTGTTGTTTTTGACCGGAAATATGCTATTGAAATTGCTCGGTAGAACAAATCAGGTGAATTTAATGTTTCTATAGAATTTTCTATAGAATTTTTTCAAGTTCTTGCACTCTATTATTCTTCTATTTTAATTTTAAAAATCAAACAGAAAAAGGTAGAAAATTTGAACGCAGGAATTTCTATAGAATATATCGCAATAGAATATAAAAATGAAATTCTATTGTTTTTGACCGGAAATATGCTATTGAAATCGCTCGGTAGAACAAATCAGGTGAATTTCATGTTTCGATAGAATTTTCTATTGAGGCATTTTCTATAGAAATTTTTCAGTAGGAATTTTTCAAGTTCTTGCACTCTATTGTTCTTCTATTTTAATTTTAAAAATCAAACAGAAAAAGGTAGAAAATTTGAGCGCAGGAATTTCTATAAAATATATCGCAATAGAATATAAAAATGAAATTTTATTGTTTTTGACAGGAAATATGCTATTGAAATCGCTCGGTAGAACAAATTAGGTGAATTTCATGTTTCTATAGAATTTTCTATTGAGGCATTTTCTATAGAAATTTTTCAGTAGGAATTTTTCAAGTTCTTGTACTCTATTGTTCTTCTATTTTAATTTTAAAAATCAAACAGAAAAAGGTAGAAAATTTGAGCGCAGGAATTTCTATAGAAAATATCGCAATAGAATATAAAAATGAAATTCTATTGTTTTTGACCGGAAATATGCTATTGAAATCGCTCGGTAGAACAAATCAGGTGAATTTCATGTTTCGATAGAATTTTCTATTGAGGCATTTTCTATAGAAATTTTTCAGTAGGAATTTTTCAAGTTCTTGTACTCTATTGTTCTTCTATTTTAATTTTAAAAATCAAACAGAAAAAGGTAGAAAATTTGAGCGCAGGAATTTCTATAGAATATATCGCAATAGAATATAAAAATGAAATTCTATTGTTTTTGACCGGAAATATGCTATTGAAATCGCTCGGTAGAACAAATCAGGTGAATTTCATGTTTCGATAGAATTTTCTATTGAGGCATTTTCTATAGAAATTTTTCAGTAGGAATTTTTCAAGTTCTTGCACTCTATTGTTCTTCTATTTTAATTTTAAAAATCAAACAGAAAAAGGTAGAAAATTTGAGCGCAGGAATTTCTATAAAATATATCGCAATAGAATATAAAAATGAAATTTTATTGTTTTTGACAGGAAATATGCTATTGAAATCGCTCGGTAGAACAAATTAGGTGAATTTCATGTTTCTATAGAATTTTCTATTGAGGCATTTTCTATAGAAATTTTTCAGTAGGAATTTTTCAAGTTCTTGTACTCTATTGTTCTTCTATTTTTATTTTAAAAATCAAACAGACAAAGGTGGAAAATTTGAGCGCAGGAATTTCTATAGAATATATCGCAATAGAATATAAAAATGAAATTCTATTGTTTTTGACCAGAAATATGCTATTGAAATCGCTCGGTAGAACAAATCAGGTGAATTTAATATATATATAGAATTTTCTATAGAATTTTTTCAAGTTCTTGCACTCTATTATTCTTCTATTTTAATTATAAAAATCAAACAGAAAAAGGTGGAAAATTTGAGCGCAGGAATTTCTATAGAAAATATCGCAATAGAATATAAAAATGAAATTCTATTGTTTTTGACCGGAAATATGCTATTGAAATCGCTCGGTAGAACAAATCAGGTGAATTTCATGTTTCTATAGAACTTTTTCTATTGAGGCATTTTCTATAGACTTTCTTCACTAGGAATTTTTCAAGTCTGCACTATATTCTTCTTCTAGTTTCATTTTTTTTAATTGAAGTAAAAAACTTGAAAAATTTTAGCCGAGGAATTTCTACAGAAAATGTCTTAATAGCATAAGTTGTAAAATCAATGCAATAAATGGGAGAATTGATTGTACACAAAGAGAAATTCTGTCGAAAACTTCTAGTTCCGTTAAATAAAATGTCTCCGTGTAGATCATCTGTTTGGATTTGTCCACCTCACAATTAAATTACCGATAATCAAGATTTTCTCCTCAATTGTTCTCCGGAGATTCACGAAACCGAAGGTAAACTGTTCCAGATAAAATACGGAGCCTTATGCGACGGTTATTATCACGTTACATAACTCCTTTTGAATTTGTTATTGCGCAACGATCAAAGGGGGATTCATAATAATACATAACGGGTCACTGGATGAGTTGGTGATTCGTAGGGGAGAAAAGTCGTTGTACAGTTGATTACCCGTTACATGATAGGAATTATGGTTTAATGGATCTTTGGTGGAATATCCACGTGCCCAAAATACCAGACAGTATAATAAATACCAAAATACCAAATACTAATGATTGATGCCGATCGCTAATACCAGGAAATGTGTTGAATTAATGATTGATCGAGATACGCGGTAGCGTATCGGCCAAGTTGATTATTCCGTTAACCCTAGACTGGTCACCATGCGAGGGAATTGCCGCAACGCGTCGTTTTATTCACCTCGCCATCGACGGGTTGACCGGAAAAATTTGAGAAAAATTGAATTCGTCAATTGAAGTATCTGGAAAATTCTAGTATTTTTTTTTTCAATATTGTATCCTTAATTCTGGGAGAAAAAAAATTATTTCCAACAGGTGAGCAATTTTTTCCCGTGTTAAATGAAATTGCCTGTTGCGCGACGTTGCTGAGAACTCGGTAAACGCGCCCGGGAAGTGTAGAGTGGATTCGGCAACGCTGGAGCCTAATAACACGGCGGCACTCTCCCGCGAAGGCGACTAAAGTCGCTTTTTCCCGTCAGGTGACCAGAGTAGGGTTAATGAATAACTTGTACTCACCACTCCCCAGATCGTCAGGTACTTGAATTGGCCTGGGTCAAACTTTTTGAACTTGTGCGCCAGCATCGGTATGTGCAAATCGAAAAATGCCTCGTACAATGTGAAACCGTAGGCGGTGAATGCCGTCAGGTGAAACAAGTTCAATAGAGTTCCCATTTTTATCTGCAACAAAATTACAAATGTTTTTGACATTATTAGATTGTTATAATTATTATTCCGATAAGAAAGAAAGTGTCTGAAGCCTTTTCCTTTTCATCTGATTAAATCACTAATGCATGAATGAAAATTCCTTCAATTAAATTTTTTATGGGGAAAAATCATGGGAATTACGTAAATTTAAAAAATTGTGAATAAATTTAAAAAACTACTAGGAAATATTTTTATTTCGACATTACAAAAAATTGTGTTCATAATATAAAACATATTTACCCACTCATTTCATATATCTTCTCATAACGATAACTGTCAGAGAATCTAAAGGAGATACTGAAATTTTCATAATAACCTTTTTTCTAGAGCAAATTGAGTGCTACAAGAAAGGTCTGGACAAAAATTTAGCTGTCTCCCTTAGATTCGGAGATATTCACTAAAAACTGGCCAATTGTCAAAATCGACATTAACCGCTTTACCACTTCGCTACTGAATTGTAAATATCTGGGAATATCCATGTGCTGTTGGGCAAAAATATAATTGAAAAAAAATAGAAATCCCAATTGTCAGTCTGACTGCACCCGGTCCACACCCACTTGCATTAGGATGAACTTGTTCCGTTGGACCTTGACGCGTCCCTCGAGGGAAACCGGTTCCCACCTCGAATATAATTTGGGTTTTCCTCCAGCCGGCAATATCGGATGCAAAGCAATGTCTCCCGAATGTTATTATCAGTTCGCTATTTGATTCACGGCCTTGCACGCATACTCACCGACTGAACCGTCCGCCACTCTTTGCGCTCGTCTACGAACTGACGCGTTCGATTGCTCACTCGTCTGTCCCTGATAGCTCGCGTGCATATGCCCATCGCTTTATTTCCTTCATTTTTATGTTTTTCGCGATTCACCTTCGACCTCCAGACGGGGCGTTTCGATAATTGGTACAGGTCAGTGAGAAAGTCGAGGGGATAAGGGGGTTTCGATAAGGTTTTTACAATTTTGCGTTGAACTTTTGAGGAGAAATTAATTAGAAAGAGATTTGCAGATTTTGTTTTAGAAAGAACCGGAGTTTTTGATCAATATTTTTTTATGAGGATCTGTTCTACCACTTCGCTATCTTGAATAATCCTGTCTCCATGAAATCCCTTCAAAAACAATTTTTTTGTGAAATTTTTAAGAAGAAATCGGTTAGAAAAAAAATCGCAGATTTTTTTGGGAAAAAAGTGAAGTTTTTGGTCAATATTTTTTTATGAGGATCTGTTCCACAACTGGGCTATCTTGAATAATCCTGTCTCCACGAAATATCTTCAAAAATTTTTTTTTGTGAAATTTTTAAGAAGAAATCGATTAGAAAAAAATTCGCAGATTTTTTTGGGAAAAAGTGAAGTTTTTGATTAATATTTTTTTATGAGGATCTGTTTTACAACTTCGCTATCTTGAATAATCCTGTCTCCATAAAATATCTTCAAAAACAATTTTTTTGGGAAATTTTTAAGAAGAAATCGATTAGAAAAAAATTCGCTGATTTTTTTTGGGAAAAACGTGAAGTTTTTGGTCGATATTTTTTTATGAGGATCTGTTCCACAACTAGACTATCTTGAATAATC